TCTGGGCACAAAAACCACTGAAGTACATGAGCAGATGTGGCATGCAGGCATATATGAATGAATAAATACAATGAATAAACAGGGTCGGGCATTTGGTACATTAGTTAAAAAACCACTTGACAAGCCCATGTTCTGTACCAGAGTACCTGAGCTTAAGCTGCACCTCTGCTTGCTAAAGCTCATCTTGGGGAGCTGCAGTGGTAGACCAGTTACCTAATTCCCACCCACCCAATGGGGCAGATATAGATTGATCTTTCTGTCTCTCTACCTGTTTGTTTCAGATCTTAAGAAAAAAAAAGGAATAATAATAACCTAGTAACTATATGATCTGATGCAGGCAGTGCTACTTCTAACCTATGAAGCAGCTAATTGGAAGCCACAGAGCTACACTGACCTGTGACTAATATGAGATACTTAATATGACTGAGTCAACAGTTAAAACCTGCAGAGCTCGGTAAGAAGGAACATGAGTGCACAAATGTGGTAAACAACTGTATTACATCCTCTTTTAATTACTATGTTCATCAGGAAACTGCTTACTGCTGCTAATTGCTGCACTGCATAAAAAGAAGAATCATTTAGCTAAAGACATTTAATTTAAAGAATATCAGTGGGAACCTGGTGTGTTGTGGCCAACCTCCAAGACACAGGTGCCATTTCTTGAGCAAGTTTGCAGTCTACACCCAAGGCAAGAAATCACACTGATCATTGGGTTCCTAATAAAATAGTATATGTCATTTTCCATGTTTTACTGATATAATGAGAGACAGAGCATCAGAGAGAGAGAGTGAGAGAGAGAGAGAGAGAGAAACAACCACAGTGTGCTGGGCAGGTGGAGCACGCACAAATCACCGTGGACAGTTAAGGATGAAAGAGGTGGTGGTGTGTGTGGCTAGGAGAGTGGCTTCAGGCTGCGGGCAGACTGTATGGCACTGTGTTTCACATGGCAGAAATCTAATGTCCTTGTCTTTTTATGTCTGCTGCCTAACTCCTTATTATTGTCACTTTAGAATACAGTGTCCCTAATGTTGTGGGTGGGACCAGAACTCCATTAAGTCTTATTTCTTCTTCATCCATGTCCTACACCAAAGTGACTGTGCTTCATTCAGCTTTACATAGCAAGGATTTGGGTCTGGCTGCTCCACTTTCCGTTCAGCTCCCTGTTTGTGGTCTGGGAAGGTAGCAGAGGATGACCCAAATTCTTGGGACTCTGCACCTCCAGGGGAGACCTAGAAGAGGTTCCTGGTTTCTGGCTTCGAATTGGCTCACAACTGGCCATTGTGGTGGCCACTTGGGGAGTGAACCAGTGAGAGAATGGAAGCTCTTTCTCTCTGAATCTCCTTTTCTTTGTAAATCTGCCTTTCAACAAAAATAAGTAAATCCTAAAGCCAATAAATAGCAAGGATTTAAGTTTGGTTGAACAACTTGAGCTCAAGTACGACCAGAAAAATTGCAATTGTTGATGGTAAATGTCTGAAGCACAGGGAGGATCTGAGGAAGTTTCTGTTACAATATTTTGTTAGAAGGAAAATCAGGGGCTGGCTGTGAGCCATGTCTGATACACACACACACACACACACACACACACACACACACACACACACACACACACAATGACAAATCCCATTATGACACAGGCAGAATGATACGGACCAAGTTACGTTGAGCCATGGAGACTATTTGGGAACTAAATAGAAGGAATGAGACACTGGGGGTAGGAGGGTTCCAAGATTTTAGGGCTGGGGATAATATATTCTGGGGTGACCTTCATCATGGGAAGATGGGAGCTGACACAGGCATAGGGAGTGGATAAGTAGTTAAATTCAAAGATGGTGAGTTTGGTATCTTTGGCGATGTCAAGACACAGAGCCCCTTTGGCAACGTATTAATCACAAATCGTTTGTGAACTGAAGAATCGGTTCTGAGTTGCCTGGGGGAGTAATTGAGGCCTCTTAGGCCTGGCATGCTCCGCCTTGGTTTATACAGAATATGTTCACTCCCCACAGTCCTGAGTTAGTGGTGCTAAGGGTGCAACCTTCGTTCAACTCTAAGGGCTAATCCATGAGCCTCATGGAAGGTTGTGGGCCCAGATTCCTAGGAGAGAATCAGTTATAAGTCAAGCTTGGTCCTGACACTTCGTTCTTCCTGACTTACAACAGGATCCTTCTCCAAAAGACAGCTCAGTGGAACCTGTGGAAGCTTGCCCTGTGACTCTCCACAACTGAGCGCCATTACACATCTTTCCAGTCTTAAATATTGTGCTGAAGGGACAAAAAGATGAATGAGGTATGGCTTATTTCTCAAATGATGTGAAAGAAAAACTGATAGACTCAGAGGAAACACGTGAGTAAATGAAGGTTTGAAAAGTTTAACCTAACTATTTTGAGCAATATGTCAGTTAAGAATGGATAATTTAAATTGCATAAAATAGTTTCCTATCAGTAAATAGTTTTCAAGTTTTTTTTTAAAAAAAGATGAACTAATTTATTTATTTTAAAGATTTATTTATTTTTATTGGAAAGGCAGATATACAGAGGGAAGGAGAGACAGAGAGGAAGATCTTCTGTCTGCTGATTCAGTCCTCAAGTGACCGCACAGGAGACCTGGAGGAGGTTCCTGGCCCGGTGCCATAGCCTAGCAGCTAAAGTCCTTGTCTTGTACATGCCAGGATCCCATATGGATGCCGGTGCTTCCCATCCAGCTCCCTGCTTGTGGCCTGGGAAAGCAGTTGAAGATGAACTAAAGCCTTGGGACCCGCACCCCTGTGGGAGACTCAAAAGAGACTCCTGGCTTCGGATTGGCTCAGCTCTGGCCATTGTTGCCACTTAGGGAGTGAGTCAGCAGACGGAAGACTTTCCTCTTTTCTCTCTCTTGCTCTCTGTATGTCTGACTTTCTAATTAACATAACGTAAATCTTAAAAAAAGAAAATCACATAAGTTATTAACATTGCTCCTTTTTTATGTCTGATAGGGCTATGTAGATGGACCATATATCAAAAAAGTGTTCTCCAAACCAAAATACAGTATTGCTGCATGTAATACACAGTGAAGTAGGCCTTCATGTGCTTCTTCTGAGTCGTGAGCGATCCATTTGCAGCATGAAGCCAAAATTGGAACAGTCATTTCTAAATCAAAGAAATTGTCTCATTAAAAAAATGTTTACACAGGTACTGTTCTGTTCTAACAATACGTTTTAAGACTCAACGAGAGAAAATCTGATATTTCAATTTATTGTATATTGAAAATTATTTAAGGGCTGGCAAAAATATTATGAAGGACAAAAATTTTCAGAACTATATTTGCTGCTATTTATGGAGGATTATAAAGTGGAAAGCATATGCTTATTTAAAAAAAAATGCCTGAACCAGCATGTGTTTGCTCTAGGAAAAATATACAATGTCATTAACCCAGGGAATGAGCGCAAGTCTTTACGACGCAGCAATTCTTGAGCTTGCCTGCATTTTGTGTATGTGTCAGTCACCTATGTCTTCATATATCGTGGTATCCGTGATGAACTTCCCATCTCCATCAAACCTTCCCCTTCTGCTCCTCCCTGTGAAGGCCAGGACAGCGCACTCCAGGGATCCACTGGCTCCTCTCAGTGGATTTGTATGGGGCAAGCCATTCGCATCATGATCTGAGGGATTCCTTGCTCTGTCTCGTTCTTATTGCCTCAAGAGTGGGCAGCAATGTGATCCCAACGTGCAAGTGACACGGGAGCAGAAAAGCAGAAGCAAAGTTGATGATCTAGCTGTGTTCAACAGAGCCGGGCACAAGAGAAACGTGCAGAGATGTCCTGTAACGCCATTCTTGGAGCAACTTTGCTGTGTTCCGGAAACGGTAATCTTTTTCTGAAATGGGTTCTTGTTGCTACCATCCTAGGATGACTGCCGTTTTAGTCCTGAGGGGAAGGACTGCGTGCTGGTGTTCTGCTGGTTCTGCAGGTGCACATGTGAATGACGGCTCCCGGGAAGGCAAAGGGGTGGGCCTTGCCAGCACCTGCTCTTCAGGATGGACCTCAGCATTGCAGCCCCAGTGGTGTCTTCTGCAGAGGCAGGCCTGACGTTCTTGCTCAGTTGCCTCTCTTTGCTACACGCTGCAGCCCCGTGGCGTAGCCAAGACTATGGTGGTATCCAGCTTACTTGCATTTCTGCATCAACATGGCACACCGTCCCCCCACTGACACAGCCACAGGAGATACTCTCCTAAGACACCTGGACTCCAGGGCTCCACTCGAGCTGGCAAGAAAGCAATCCTGCACAAGCACTCCAGGATGGTCTGGTCAGAAAAGGCCCCTGGCGGACAGAGCCGTGAGCCCACTTCACACCATCCATTCTCCCAGCTTCTTCTGTGTTCTGTATGTTCTCATCCCCTGGCACCATTTTACCATTTTCTGTTTTACATTCTTAGACATAATGTGGATGACATTTCTGTTCTGAGTGCATGGAGACTGACACAATGAGCAAGAGGTATGAATGTATTTGTCCAGCTATAAAAAGGCATCCGTGATGACAAAACCAACTATCTCTATGGTGACAAAATTTTGAACTAGGAGAAAAAATCAAAACTCTGTTCTAAAGCTCACAGATAAAATAGGTGTAAATGCGTGGGTTACATGCTTAATTGATATTGAATATTTTCTAGACATCACTGCTTTGGACTACATTTTTAAATATTGTTTTCTACTGATAACAGACATTGAAAATAGCATTTCCCCTCCCACCCCCAAACAGATTTGGAAGTATCTCCTAAAATCATCACCTAAACATTTGCTTCTAAGACAGTTGAGAATGATAAATTCTATTTTCTTAATGCTTTTTTTTTTAAAAAAAATAATTTAGAAGGCATTTTAGATGACTTACACATTTTAACTGTACCATTCTAAATATCCCCACAAAGAAACATTGTTAAGCAACTTTTCATTTGTCATTGATCACAACTTGATACTGTTTTAGCTTTGAGGGTTTTTGTGTCTATAAGTTTTAAGTAAGTGTACTCACCGCCTGAGAGGAGGGCAGGTTTGCTTTTTACCACTGGACTAGAATGAGGAAATTTGTTGCTAAATGACATGAAAAGGTGTGCAGTGAAATCGTCGGGAAGCTCGGCTTCCAGGAACGTCTTCATGAACAGCTTGAAACCTTCAAAATCTATTGTCTGCAAGAAAATTTAAACACATGTTTTTAAGACACAGCTAAGTATGAAGAGCTATGTTCAGTTTCATTAGTGGCAGAAATGACCCCGAACTTTTTTTTTTTAAATCTGTATCTATGGAAACAAGGTAAACTACTTGAGGAACAGATTGAATAATCCTTGGTGGATTGTTGTGACGATGCAACAGACTTATGTATTTCTGAGGTTGTATAGCAGGGAAACCAGTATCGCCATGGCCTTGTGATCTCTGCTCTTTGAAGCTCAGTTTCCCTCTGTAAATTGGGGATAATGTCCTCAATTCGACAGAGCTGTGGTGCTGATGAAATTAGGGGATTCATGTGGACACAGAGGTACATTCATTCACAGACCAGACATTCACAGAGTGAAAATTCCGCCACCTCTTTTCCCTGGCACTAATGGCCCTTATTTCTTTTGACAATTGTACAAAAGTAGCTAATATTAACATTTCCATTAAGCACTAACATCAACTTCCCATGCAGAATTTCAAAGAAATCTATATTATAAGGTTCCTACTCCTCCCTACTTATTATAAAACTGTAAGTGATAAGCACTCATTTGCAGAGAACTTCTATGGCTTTGAGAATGTCTATGCCCACTTGGGGAAGCGGAGATGAAAGCTGCCTGTTCACTACAGATTCCGATGAGAGCCTTTCTCAGTGGCCACCTGCAGAGCCTGTTCTGCCAGCACAGAACCTGACTGGTGCCTGGGAACTTGAGGGCACGTGCACAGGTATTTTGGGGACAGACACAGGTGAATGCCATTGTGTTGCATTTGGCTAAAACACTCAATAACCGTAAAAACAATGCTGCTTCCTGGGAAAGGGAAGTAGAACAAAGGCATATTGAGTTTTTGGGGGTCTTGAGGAGAGCACTTACAAGGTTTAGACTGAGAGAAGGAGCCAGAATGAAGTCACACAGGTGGAGACCAAGGGGGCACAAGAGAAGCTGAGAGAACAAGCCAGAATGAAGTCACACAGGTCCAGACCAAGGGGATACAAGAGAAGATGGGCTTACACACTGGCCTGGACCTGGCCTTTGCTGTACTCATTTTAATGCACTGAGATGAAACTAACAGTAGAATAAAAATGACATTAGTCAGGTAGATGTCCTGAGGTTTGCGCAAAATGTAATATTAACACCATAACTTGCTATTTGACAATAGATAAAATCTGCATTTTCTAATCTGGTAGTATTGAGGGAAAGTCGGTGGAGAAAGATCAACTCTATTGTTCTAGAGAAGACTACAGTGGAAAATGTTGTTCAGGGATGTCATTAGGGAAGTGAAAGATATATGTAGATTACATCATGTGCTAATTAAGTAGCTACTAAACATCTCAAGCAATCAACTGAAATGAAAAGCTTTACTGACTGTATCAATAATTCCAAGTCTGCTTGCGACTGAACCCCTGCACGTCCCCTTTAGCTCCCTTCTGCTTGTTCATTCCTCCAAGGAGACTGTAGACTTTCGGAAGCTGTTTTATGCCACTCTGAGTAAATTATCACTACCACAAAATACAGAAAAAATGTACTAGTACACTACATGGTTAAATCTATGACAAAGATAAAAATATAGAGGATAGCCTTGGGCAGGAAAAGAACTTCCAAAAAGCAACAAGCCTTCACAATGGCAACTGATATTACAAAATGTGAAGATGCCAAAGACAGCTCAATGTACTCAGAGTTTTCCTTAGAAGGGAAATCTGTAGTAATGGAGAGGGCTCCTTAGAGAGGGCTCACGGAGGAGTAGTTACTCACACTCAGTGAGGTAAAGCACCAACAGGAGCTTTCCAAACGTACTACGCTCACTGCAACAAGCTGATGCTATGGTAGACTTCCTGTCTAGGAAGCTCGTGGGATGAAGGTGTTTGTAGGCATTCGGTTGGATGTCACACTAGCCACGCAGGTGCTTCCTCCTATGACTGTCTTTGGAACTTCCTCTTGGGAGGCGGATGACTTGGGAACATTAGCTTCCAAAACTTCTTAACTATGGCATTTCAGTTATGTTTATGTGCCACAAATTTTTTCATCTGTACATTGAGAGTAACAGTCTCTGCCTCTTGTTTTATCAGAAGGATTTGCTTTTCCACCGTTTCAAAGCACCATGATACCCTTCCACTCACAGTAAGTACTTTTAGTGGTCAACCCACTAGTATGTTTTAAACTAGTTTTTTTGAAAGTATGTGAGCTAGAGATCTCATTGTCGGTTCTTCCCTAAATGCCACCAATAGTGCTGGCTGTCCCACCTGCAGAAGGCAAGAATCAAGACTTCTGTCTAAATCACGCATGTGGAGGGACTGAACTACTTGAGCCATAATCTACTGGCTTCCTAGATGTGCATTAATAGGGAGCTAGTATCAGAAGCAGAGCCAAGCCTCTGCAGGGTGCAGGCATCCTTCAGGAGTGGCTCAATCACTGAGCCAAATGCTCAACCCCAAATACACAATATGTATGTAAGGAAACACTATGGCTGTTCAGAATTGCAAACAATATTTGAAAAGTAAATCTGAAGGCTCCCTTAGGTTGTAGCTATGCACATGCCTTGAATAGGTCATTGTTGGGTCCATTCTCACTGCTGTTCTAGAAGCAGAAAGTGGTAAAAACTACCAAAGGCTATTTTTTTTTCACATGGACTTCTTTTGGGGATACTTGATACCTAGAAATACAAGAAGCATCAATGAACAGAAACAAAAGCAAGGACTCGCAAGAAAATACTTCTGCTTTCAATTCCAACACCTTCATGTGTCACCTGCTAGAAAAAGCCATTTATCAGCTCTTTAAACTGCCAACCTGCAAGTGTGTCCACTTCACAGTGCATTCCGTAAGCCACCTAGAAGGCCCTAGAAACTGATGTCTATGGTGTAATGATGGAAACCAGCCAGCCCCCAATAGATGAAGCTGGATGTTGTAAATCCCCCATGAAGCAGTAAGTGTCCCCTTGACCTTCCTCTCACTCCCAGGAAGAATTTCTGAACATTCACAAGTGTCCTTGCTCAGCCTTGCTCAGCAAGTACGAGAGCTTCACTTGCTGACAGCTCCAAGCTTTAATTTCTTCCACATAAAGTTATGCATGAGATTGTCCAAAAGTAATAATAATACAGATTGAGCCTTACTATCGCACACATTGCACATAAAATGAATGAAATAAACAGAAGGAGTAACTGAAAGGAAGCTTTGCTCCAGATGAAAGGGGTGCTTTATCACCTTTCTTTGCTTTTTTTTTTTTTTTGGTCTAGAAAACTGTAGAATCGGCTACATTTTCCAAAGGAAACTCAAATACCTGGCTATATTTATACTGTATCAGGAAACCCCCAAAATTATGGCTTTCAGAAAGTAAGAATATAGAAACAAACATCTTATTAAAAAAAAAAACCTATGAGAGTTTTAAAAGTGTGATAAAGTTTTGTTCAGTTAAATGCTTCCTACAAATGATGTCAGATTATTCTACTGACAAGGCAAACTTCTATCTCCCTGTTTGGAAGCACAAATTCCCTCTTTTCTTCCATTTTCTGTCATTACACAGAGCTTACCACGTGACAAAACCCAGCAGCCTTTATAGCCAAAAAGATGCTGTCTCAGTACTTCTAATTCACAGAGGAGCTGTTCTCCGATGCCTTTCCCAGCGCACCCTACTTCTTTTTGTTGGTGAAGCATTTTCTATTTCCCTGATTTCTATGTCTTCCAAATGAATAGACATTTTGGGAAAATGACCGTTTTCCATCTACACATTTGCCTTCTCTTCTGACATAACACCCACTTTCTCCATGTGGTATCAGCTTTCCTTGCTGTCATTAGAATTGTGTTTTGACTATTGCGATTTTAAACAGAATGACATCACTCGTAGGCACCTCAGTGGAACCGGTGACGGACACTGGGTCAGACCCAGTTAAATGAGTGTTCAGAGATCGAATTGCTGGGAAGTTTCACACACACACATGTTGAAAATTTTCAGAAGTGCTTTTCCTTTTTTTTTTTTCCTTAAGAAGTATCCACTGCCTATTTAGGGAAATAACAGGATCTGTAAAGAGTGCAGACTGCGGGAGTCGCTCCGATGTGACTGCCAGGTTGGCAGACACCCAAACCGCATTTCTATGCCTTTCATGATTTTATCTGACCATCTGGACCGTTTGTTTTCCAATCCCGTTTAACTAAAGAAATAACACAAATTATTCATCTCAGGGGAGGCAAGCTGAATGAAAGAAAATGTCTCCATTCTATTTTATTTCCTCAGGCAGCGTTGTTTTGGGAATTTCCCGCATTGAGAGTGTTTGGTGAGCACCCACTGTGTGTCCGGCTCTGCTCAAGAGGTCAGGGTGAAGACATCCCAGCAACGCACGGACCTCGCTATCACAGAGCTCGGTGTCCAAAGGCGGCACAAAGTCACACCACAAAGGTGCTACTCATGGAGTGCCTCATGACACTGAATGCATGAGAGCCGTTTTACAAGGATGTAGGGATGCATTTGAAAGCCATGTGCTTCGCCATGTTCAATCAGGTAATCATGAAATCAGGAAAGTGCTCAAGGCCACAAGGAAGTTCTACACCTGTTTCGAGAAAGACCATCCCAGAAAGAAGGCCACAAGTGCAGAGAGCCAGAGGTGTAACAGTTGCCCCAGGTTTAGAGGATTTCCTCTGGGAGCAGACATTACAGGATGACACAAGAGCAGAGGGTGATGAGCACCAGGTAGGATACTAGGTTAGTGAGAGTCAGAGCTTTCTCTTTAAAGAATTATTTATTGGGCCCGGCACGGTGGCACAGTGGTTAAGGTCCTTGCCTTGCACGCCCGGGATCCCATATGGGCGCTGGTTCTATCCCGGCAGCCCCGCTTCCCTTCCAGCTCCCTGCCTGTGACCCGGAAAAGCAATCGAGGATGGCCCAAAGCTTTGGGACCCTGCACCCGTGTGGGAGACCCAGAAGAGGCTCCTGGCTTCGGATTGGCATAGCATCGGCCGTTGCGGTCACTTGGGGAGTGAATCATCAGACG